TCGGCCCGACCGCGCTCCCGCCGGGCAGCGCCGACAGCTCGAGCGCGGGGCCCCGCACTTACTCGGGAAGGTAGGTGGAGGAGAAGGAGCTCCACTTGTGCAGCGCGTAGGGCAGAAGCCGGCACTCGGGCGCCGCAGCAACAGCCCCGCCAGCCGCCATCTTGTCAGCACCGTAGCGGCCGCCGCCGACCGCCGGCCCCGCCAGGAGGAGGGCGGGGACGGGGCCTGCTCTTAAAGGGGCCGCACCACGAACCCAACCGCGCTGGGCGGGGACTTGGCAGGCTGGCGGCCGCTTCCTCCGGTTTCCCACGCTGTCCTTCCCTAGCTGACCCTCCCGAGAAGGCTTTCCTGCGAGGCTGGAAGAGGAGTGGCACGGAGGACTTTCCTTACAAGCGCAGGTAAAGACAAAGCCAAGAACATATTGGAAAATTGAAAAAAAAAATCCTAGTTATAGAACAGGAAGGGAAAATGACATCCGCTTTGGAAAGGTAAAACCTTTTCCGACTTTGGAAACCACTGCCCTAGCCTGTGTATGCATCCTTTTAGGAAGGAGCGGTGAGGAGAATTGAAGTGCAATAATAATGTATGGCCTTTGTCTCTAGACTTGTCCTGAGGTTAAAAATGTCCTTGTCACCGTGTTTCAGGGTCAGGTGGAGGCAAAAAAAGGAAAAACTAGTGTGTTCAGCCTCTAATGTCCCTCACCGTCAACATGTCTTGTGAGCCCTCTCCTTCTAATAATATTCTTGTGGCATCGCTTTTTTTTTTCCTTCAGAAATGACAGTAACCCATATACCAGGGAAAATGTCCTTAGAGTTGGGAAGCTGTGCGTTTCAGTTGGTAAATCTGCTTGCTTTTGATTTTAACATAGATGTAGCCCAAACGTTTGGAAAGAGAAAAATGCTTAAGAAAAGACCGTGTCCTCTTCAGAAGGAATAGTGAGTACCCTGCCGCCCTGACCTCCCCACAACACACACACTGTTCAGAAAACCAGAAGGGCAGCTTCTTATCATAAAAGGAACACCTGGTCTACATATGTGGCAAAATTAGATAATGCTCCCATCTAGTACCTATTTCTCAGGGTTATAAATATTTATTTATTTATTTATTTGCTTAACCATTGACATTATCAAAAATTGTGTCACTCCTTGCCTAAGAGGTTGGTCTCCTGAAAGCTTGGATAGTATCATTGTGTCAAGCAGAGGATGAAAAGCCTCAAGCAAAGAGCATCTCAATAAATGATCGGGTGACCAGTAGTTATACTCTCTTTGGTTATGATCATTAACCTGCCCATCAGCTCTCTCCACTTCTTTGTTAGATTCATTTCCACTGGGGAAATTTTTACAGTGGCCTCTAATAGGAAACCACCAGAAATGTCAGCTAGGCCTCAAATAGAATGGATCTTTAAGATTCCATGTTCTTTAAGTGTGTGAGTCTGCTGGGAAAGGGTGGGATCTGGCGCAAACGCTCTAAACCAGAAACTTGAGTTAGAAAACCGCCTGAGATTGAGGAAGTTAGCTACAGAGGGATTAGCATGGGGGGAAAGGTTGTCTCTGAAAGGGAGATGAGATGGGGATTCACTCCAGTTAGTTAGAGGACCCACAATTTGCTAATGCTTCTTCTTACCTCAATCTAAATAAGTCCTTTTTTATTTTTCCAGGCATAGAATTGTATAGTTCCTGACCAAACTTTGTGAAAAACAGGTATCAACCAAGTCTTCTTTTTGAGATTGTAATTTAATTACAACATTTTCCCTTTCCCTTTCTGCCCTTCAAGCCTCCCATATACCCTCCCTTGCTCTCCTTCAAATTCGTGGCCTCTTTTTTTATTAATTGTTATTATATGCATATATGTACTCGTATATAAATATTTATTCCCAAGAATAACCTGTTGAGTCCATATAATATTACCTGTATGTGTGTTTGCAGGGCTGACCATTTCACACTAGACAACCAATTGGGTGTGCTCTTCCCTAAGGAGGGCCACCTCTCCAGCTTCCAGCTTTCCTCAGCTGCCGGTAGCTCTTCATGTAGCTTTGTGGCCCAGTGGGCTTCCTCCCACCCCCACCCCAGGTTTAAAGCCAGTCTTCTTGCTGGGTGGTGGATCTCTGTGAATTTGAGGTCAACCTGGTCTACAAAGCAAGATCCAGAACAAGCACCAAAAACTACACAGAGAAACCTTGTCTGAAAAACAAAAAACAAAGAAACAAACAAAAAACCGAAACCCCCCCCCAAAAAAACAAAAACCAATTCTTAGCTGTTAAACTTTCTTTCTTTCTTTTTTTTTTCTTTTCTTTTTTTAGTGATAAACTTGACTGTAACTGTTTTTTTGGTAGGGAGGGGAAGTTGTTGTGATTGTTGTTGTTTTCACAACACAATCTACCTACCAAGACCTGCCTGGCTTCCAATCTGCAGAGGACCTCTTGCCTCTCCTTCTCTTGAGTACTGGGATTACCATGCCCCACTCTTCTGTGACTTTCTATACCCATTTACTAGAAATGGCTTAACAAGGGGTCCTTCCTCATCCCTCCAGCAAGTGCTCGGGCTCTCTCCTTTTTCTGCTTTCCTTTATCCCCCAAGTCCTCCTCAGCACTCTATTCTGGCCTCACTAGACAAGCATTCCAAATCCCTACTTATGTGGGGTGCATCCTCTCTATCTCCAAGGTGTAGTCTGTTCCTGGCCCAAAATATCTCTGCACCCCATATTTTACCTGGCTAACTCTGCTCTTCAGATTATTATATCTTGAAAAAATCTTTCCTCATCATCTATTTTAAGATTACTTAGCTGAGTGATGGTGGCGTGTGCCTTTAATCCCAGAACTCAGGAGGCAGAGGCAGGTAGATCTCTGGGAGTTCAAGGTCAGCCTAGTCTACAGAGTGAGTTCCAGGACAGGCTCCAAAGCTACACAGAGAAACCCTGTCTGGACAGGGGGGGGGGATTATTTGACATTTTCTACATTTCCCTGGGTTCCTCCTCCTTAGCTTAAAAATCATCACAATATGTTTCTGTTTCTTTTGTATTTCTCTGTCCTGTAAAAGATAACTCCCATTATGGGAGGAGCCATGTATATCCAATTCACAGTGGCAGCTGTGTATCGCGGTCTCCGTGTATACACAGGAGATGCCCAGTTAGTGCTTGTGGAAGAATGAATAAATAGTGCTAAAAGAGAGTTTCAATTACTGCAGAGGGAAAAAGAGTGTCAAAACACTGTAAATACGTGTCCCTTAGGTATGGTGGCCAAGCACAGTATAAAGAACTAAGAGAGCATGGCTTTCCTACAACACAAATTTCACAAATGATGAAAAATGTAAAGTATCCTTATGTTAATAGAAATACAAACAGATATATTGATACTCTGTTCATAGAAATGTTAAAATAAAATTGGAAACTCAAGAAATTGCAGACTCTGCAGAAGATTACTAACAGCTAAACTTCTAGGGGTCCATCTTTCCTTTCTTCTGCCTTTGGGCCATGACTTTAGGTTGTGGGGTTGTTTGTAGAGATGCACATGGAAGGCCTGGGAATGATAGCAGCCAGCAGTCACCCTGTACCGTTGTCCTTCACAGATGGGGCCTATTGTGCCATCATGGAGCATGAGGATCATCGGTTTTCAGAGATCAGCAGTGCTATACTGTAGCAGTGTAACACACAGCATTAGTTACCCATTCTTCTTATCCCTCAGAGCGCTCTGTGGTATGTTTCTCAAATAAGTCTCACTTGCTACTCACTCTCTCTCTCTCTCTCTCTCTCTCTCTCTCTCTCTCTCTCTCTCTCTCTCTCTCTCTCTGCAAGAAAGACTTACTGAGGGAAGCTATGATGCCTCAGGTTATCCCAGATGCTAGGGAGACGATGGTGAACAGAGGAGCCAGACCATGCCCCACTTCATGAAGCTAACATTCTCTGTTTGGCCAACACATATAAATCATCATTTAAGTCTGTGCTAAATGCTAAAAAGAGATTAATCCAGAATTGTTCTTAGATCAGCCAGGTTCCCTAAGAAGATAATATTTGAGCTAATGTCTGTATATTGAGGAGGAGCCAACCACTAAAAAAGGCAGGCATAAGCCAGGTACTGGTGGCACACTCCTTTCATCCCGGCACTTGGGAGGCAGAGGCAGGTTGATCTCTGTGTGTTCCAGGCCAGCCTGGTCCAGGACAGCCAGAACTGTTATACAGAGAAACCCTGACTCGGAAAAACAAAAAACAAACAAACAAAAAGTCCAGACAAAGCATGGATCATTCATTGACTGATGCAATGCTTTATTCTAGGAGGTTCCACTGTTCAGTGATACATGAAGACCCTCTTTTTTTCAAAAGCCCATCCATCCTGTTTGATCATATCACAATTCTTCCCAAATGAGTTGATAATTGGGAATGATTTTAATAAACTATGAAGTATTTTCAAATATCAAATGTGGCCAAGTAATAGTAATAACGACCACAAGAGAGGCAAAGTAAAACAAACACAGCCGAGTCTGTTTTCCTGCAAAGGAACATACCAGTTAGCTGAGGGCAAAGGCATTTCCTTGTTGTTAAGGAAGGGGTTTTGTAGTTATTCTTGGTAAGCGTGTTATACACTGCTGTGACAAAATACTTGAGACAGGGTAATTTATAAAGAAATTTATTTCTCACAGTTTCAGAGGCTGACAGTTCAAGATCAGGAGGCCTACAGGTTCAGTGTCTACTGAAGGCCTGTCTTTCTGCTTCTAAGATGGCTTATGTCTTCTGGAGGGGAGAAGTGTTATATCAGAACATAGTGGAAGAAAACAAGGAGCCTAGCTAGTTCCCTATAACCTTTTTATGAGAGCACTGATCCCATTTTTGAAAAGGAAGCCCTCTATGCTTATTGATCTCCTAAAAGGCCCATCTCTTAATTGGGAGTTAAGTTTCAACATGAATGTTGGAAGGGATATACATTCAAGCAATAGCAAAGGATTAAAACATACTTGAAATAGACTATAATATACTCAGTGTGCTACATAGTTGATTAAAATAAGTCCAAGAAAGTAGCAAGTCTTTCTCTGTACTGCCAGCTCCCAAATAATGACACAGAGACTTCTTATTAATTATGTAAGCTTGGCCTTTAGTTTAGGCTTGTCTCAACTAGCTCTCATAACTTAAATTATCCCATTTATATTAATCTATGTTCTATCACATGGCATTACCTCTCTTCCATCTTGCACCTCCTATCTCCTCTCTGTGTCTGGCTGGCACTCCATCTTTCTTTTTCCTGGCATCTTCTCTGTCCCCAGAAGTCCCACCTGACCTCTTCCTGCCTAGCTATTGGCCATTCAGCTCTTTATTAAACCAATCACAGTGACACATCTTCACACAGTGTACAAATATCCCACAATGCAATAATTCATCAGTTAAGGAAAACAATCTTGACATAAAGGCACATCTTGCTTTAGCTCACCAGGGCCACTCAGAGTTCATGACCTCTAACAGATTTTGATGATTATAACAGGTAAAACATGACAAATTATTCAATTTGCTGTCTTCTAAGCAAGCTCTAATATATATGAAAAAATGTTCTTTTACAGTAGTATTCAACAGATGAGAACACTAATGCCCAAGTATGTTAGCTGCTATGGCACCTAAAACATTTATACAACTATTTGCAGATGTGTATCTAGAACCCCACCTTGATTTTTCCTATGCATTTCATGAGAAATGTATATATAAGAATAATAACACACACACATACACACACACACACACACACACACACACACACGCGCGCGCGCGCGCACGCGCGCGCGTGTGTATATACATATATATATACATATATATGTATATATGTGTGTACACACATATATGTGTGTGTATACATATATATGTATATATGTGTGTATACATATATACATATATATGTATATATATGTGAGTGTGTGTATGTGTGTGTGTTTGTGTGTGTATGTGTGTGTGTTATTATTCTTCAAATTCTCTATGATAGGCATATGCTAGGTACTCAGTAAACATGTCTCTTGGTTCCTTCTGAATTTCTTCTTGACAATATTTAATTAAACTGGACAGGATTAAAAGGAATAGGGTTGTCAGCTCAGATTTGGGTCAGTGTAATGATTTAGTGCTGTCAACTTGGCAGGATCCAGAGTCACCTAGGAGACAAGCCTCCAGGTGCACTTGTGAGCTATAACCTAGGTTAAGGTGAGCTTCTGAGAATGTCTGTGAGAAATTATTTTAATTGGGTTGATTGATGTGGGCAGACTGTTCCCTGGGTGGGGGATTCTAAACTGTATACAATGAATAAAGCAGGCAGGGTGCTGGCATTCCTAGTTCTCTGCTTTCTGACTGTAGATGTAATGTGACCAGCTACCTCAAGATCATGCTGTCTTATGTACCTATGATCTGTGAGCTAAAATAAGCCCTTTCTCCCCTGAGTTGCTTTTTGTCGGGATATTTTATCATAGCAATAGGAAAAGAAACTAAGATAGAAAATTGGTACCAACCTGACCACGCGGCTCTTAGGCCTTTGGAATTGGTTTATGGGAAGAATGTGGAAGAGTTTGGCACTTGGGACCAGAAAAGCCCGGAAGGCTGGAAACCAAGCTTAAAGGGTTGTTCTGATAGGGCCTTAAAAATACAAGAGTGCTGAAAAAAATGCAGACGGTGGAGGCCAGCTCATGAGCTATCAGAGGGAAACAAAGATTCTGCCAGGAACTGGGCTAAGGACCATTCGTGTGATAATTTGGCTAAGAATCTGGCTTCATATTGCCCATATCCTGAGAACTTGAATGAAGTTGACTTTAAAGCTAACGGACTAATTTGTTTAGCAGAGGAAACTTTAAGTGAGGAAAGAATTCAGGCTAGTGATGAGGGAACAACTGTAATTATTAAGCAGGGCAGCACCACTGAAGAGAAGCCCCCTGTACTGCACTGGGAGAATGGGAAATGTACCCCGAGAGCAAGACCCCACCCACCAGAGGCTCCATACCATGAGGGTTTCACCAACATCAGCCTAGAAAGCATATGGACGTTGCTATGGCTGTGGTACAAGGGGGGCCTGGCAACAGAATTTGGCAACATCATCCATGCTACCACGGCACTGGTTTTGAAGTCATTAAAAATGAAAACTTAGACACAGTCATGGAGTCCCGATCTGTGGTATCAAAGAACCACTGAGGCCAGGAAATGTGTGGCAGAGACAGAGTCCCTACAAGGAGGCCCTGAGAGGCGGTTGCATGAAGCTGTAAAGGTGACATCCATGGGGCTGTGGTGACCGTGGGGCATCAGGGATGCTAGGACCATGGGATGTCTGCCAAGGAGAGCTGACAGCGTGAGTGAAGAGAGGCTATACGTGTCACAGGCAGCAGAGCTGGAGCTGGGCCAGCCAAGCCATTTGGAGCCCAGCTTATTATATTACAAGCCTCTGGTGCTATACAAAGCTGTGGGATTTGGGGTTTGCCCTTCTGGATTTTGGTCTCACTTTGATCCAATCATTCCTATGCCCCTATTCTTCTTTTTTGGAATGGAAATGTTTACTATATGCCATTTTATGTTGAAAACATGTAACTTGTTTTTTTTTTATTTTATAGCAACTCACAGTTAAGAGACTTTGTAACTGTTATTGGCTATGGCAGTGGTTCTCAACCTGGGAGTCACGACCCCTTTGGGGTCACAGGGTCACATACCAGATATCCTGCATATAAGTTATTTTCATTATGATTCATAACAGTTGCAAAATTACAGTTATGAAGTAGCAATGAAGATAAGTTTGTGGTTGGGGGTCACCACAACATGAGGAGCTGTATTAAAGGGTCTCAGCATTAGGGAGGGTGAGAACCACTGGGCTATGAGGACTTTTGATGTTGAAATGCATGCACTTTGCTTTATAAGATGGTCATAAGCCTATGGGGACAAGAGTTTGGGTCCTCAGGAACAGGAATTACAGATGATTATGAGCCACTGTAGAGATTCTGGGAACTGAACCTGGATTCTCTGCAACAGTAACAAGTGTTCTTAGCCAATGAGCTAGCTCTCCAGCTGCAGAAGACCTTTTTCAACTGTAAGGGAGACCATTACCTGGGTAGGTTCTGAAGTGGATGAAGTGAGCTGGGCACTAATGTTCATCTTCCTTTGCTTTCTGACTCTGGGTCTAGTGTGTCCAGCCGCCTCAATTTCTCTGCCAGGATGGACTGTACCCTTGCACTGTGAGCTGAAATAAGCCCTCTCCCCCTTGAGTTGCTTTTGTTAGGGTTTTGGGTTTTGTTGTTGCTGTTTGGTTGGTTTTGTTTGTTTGTTTGTGTTATCACAACAGCAGGAAAAGAAACTAAGATATTAAGAAAGTCCCCAGAGAGACTGGAAGCATGAGCTCACCCCATTGAACATTTCTTGAATACTAGGAGCTTCCGTTACTATCTCAACTCTCAGAACAGCCCAGCAGGTCACTGAGCTGCTCGGATATCAAGAATCACCAGACTTGTATGTACCCTCTGTTGTAAAACTCCCGTGTGTGTGCATTCTCACCATCACTCCAGGACTCAGGATTCAGAGAGCTAAGCAGAAGAATCTTTAATAGATTCCTAAGCCGGGCGGTGGTGGCGCACGCCTTTAATCCCAGCACTCGGGAGGCAGAGCCAGGCGGATCTCTGTGAGTTCGAGGCCAGCCTGGGTTACCAAGTGAGCTCCAGGAAAGGCGCAAAGCTACACAGAGAAACCCTGTCTCGAAAAACCAAAAAAAAAAAAAGAAAAAAAAAATAGATTCCTAAAACCAACAACTATGATTCCAGGCTATGGTGGCACCTGCCTTTAATCCCAGCACTCCTGAGGCAGAGGCAGGTGTTCAAGGCCAGCCTGGTCTACAAAGTGAGTTCCAGGACAGCCATAGCTGTTACACAGAGAAACCCTGTCTTGAACACACACACACCCCAATAAACAAACAAACAAAAAAACCTAACAGTTATGAAATCTTTATTTTTTTTCCAGAGCGGAGGGTAGAATTCTAGGCCTCAGGCATAGTATACGAGCTCTTTCTACCACAGCTGCGTTCCCTAGCCCTGAAATCATTTCTTTAAGCAAAATGCTGTCAAAAAAGAACAAAAGAAATGCAAAAAAGACGGATGTGATTTTCTTGTTGTTGTTGAGTAAGTGGGTAATTAGTTTGGGGTTATTTGTTTGTTTCTTAAGTCAAAAATATTTCAGCCCTTTGCCCACCCAGCAGGACCTTTGGCCAAGTCACTGGTGAACGTAGACTTGGGCTTCAGGTGTGACATTCAGGTCTGTCTTCTCCCAGGAGGTGGCAGCAGCAGCAGCCGCCTCCGTGTCAGCTGCTGGGGAACTAGGGCAGAACGCCTCTGCTCTCCCATTGGCATTCCAACGTAGGCATTCCTGGTTCCAGAGACTACTTTATCCCTTCCTTGGTTTGCTGAGTTTGTTTGGAGCCAGGCACTGGGAGTGTAGGAGCTGGCACAGAGTCCCCTTTATAAGTGCCTAGCTTTTTCTGTAAACATTTTGGTCTAGGCTGTGACCTTGAAGCATGTGTGAAGGAGGCTGAGAAAGTCTCCAGCCAAAAGGAAAGAGCTTCAGAAAGAAACAACCAGTAACTGAACCTCACAGCCCCACAAGCATAGATCTAGAGGGCACCACGCAAAGAATATAGATTCTTGACCTGGGCTCTCAGCCACCAGCCTACTTACTGATCTTGTCCTTGAACCTGTCAGAGCTGCAATTCTTATCAACCTTTTGTGGAGTAAGGTGATCTTTGAGCATCTACTGATTTTTAATTTGTAGGGGGTGGGCGTGCACAAATGTGCACGTGTCTATGAAAGCCAGAGGTCAACCTCACAAGTCGCTCACTTTGTCTTTTTGAGACAGGTTCTCTCGCTGACCTGGAGCTCACCAAGGAGGTTAGGCTAGCTGGCCAGCAATCCATAGGGTCCTGCCTGTTCCCACGACTCCAGTGCTGGGATTCAAAGAGCACACAACCCCTCCAGACTATTGTACATAGCCACTGGAGATCGAATTCAGTTCCTCATGCTTGAGCAACAAGCACTTTACCCAACTAAGCTATATCCTCAGTCCTAATTTTTAAATTTCACTTTTATTATTTGGATTAAGTAGGACTGCCCTTCACCCTTGCAGAATTTAAACAAATCTTAGACACAACAAAGCGCTACTTGGTTCCAAGTTAATCCCAGCTGAGCACATATCCTGGTCTGGCAGACACTGCCAGCTGCAGAGGAGGTGGGCAGAAGTCCCAGGAAATGTCTGGATGCCACACAGCTATGGATGAACTGTCAACTGCTGGAGATTGCCTTGCAAATTACCACATCCAAATGAAGCCAACAAAACGATATTTCAAAAAAGCAATTAACACTGATTCCTAGTGTATTTGGAACCAAAAGGCCTTGGGGGCTGGGGGCAGGGTGAATTGGCTCAGAAAAATCGTATCCCAACCTTCCTGGTTGAAACGCCCAAGGTTAAGGAGCTTTGAAGTCAGGCTCGTTCTGTGCTTTCCTCCCCACTCCCCCATAGCACGGGCTTTGTGAAAACCAAGCACAACTAGTTCCTCTCATTTCCCGTTTCATCTAGTTGGCTCTAATTCCCTTGTTTTGTTACTTAACCTTCCATCTAGTCATTGAAGTCGACATTTACCCATCCTCTCCCATGGGTACAGAGAGTACACCCGATTTATGTAAGAGTCTGTTCAGAAATGGTTGATATTAGAAAAAAAATTCAGTATTAGTGGTAGTGTTGGTGATGGCAATAGTCTTGTTTGTGTAAGGCCACAGACCAAATGTCGTATTTCCTAATGATGGGTATCGATAGAGTAGAATCATCTAGAAGTAAGCCCATAGTTCCATAGAAATTGGTCTCTATGAGTCTGTCAAGACAACTCTTCCTCTTTCATACAAAAGGCACCATATTAAAATCTCTTTTATATTAAGAGCATTGCCTCCAGAAAGCCAGTGTCAGTGTCAGTGTCAGTGTACACACACACACACACACACACACACACACACACACACACACACGAACAGTAAACTGCAGAGTGACCATGACAGGAAACCTGGCATTAAAAAATAATTCTAGACAGCTGCACATTAGAGAGGAGAACCCAGAGGGCAACTCAGAGAACAAGGGGACACAGGGATGTCCAGAATGACACAGAATGTCCCGGACAGTGGCACACAGTGAACACAGGGGAAGTAGTCCATGTCTCCTGGTTCAAAGTTAAAAAGTGTCCTGGGAATCCAGTTAAATCATCTCATGCCCTAGGGTGACTTGTGAGAGTTTGTTCTTTCCTTCCGTCTTGTGGGTCCTGAGGATTGAACTCAGGTCATCAAGCTTGGCAGCAAGCACCTTTACCCATTAGTCCTCTTGCCCACCCTCAAATGCAAATTTTTGTAAAAGACCTTATTGTGTTGTTAATTTTTTAAAATTACTTATTTTGTGGGTCCATGTGGCGTATGTGAGTGCTGGGGGGGGATGGGGGGGTGAGGTGGGGATGGGGTGGGGGAGTGTGCTTGGCAGTAAGTTCCTTTACCTGCTGAGCCATCTTGCTGGTCCCTGAAAATGGTGATTTATGTTCTTGTATATTTATAAATAATGCTCTAATAACCTCTTCTCCCCAGTGCCACAGCCAACTTAAAGTGACACCATATACCAAATATACAGGATAAAGATTCAGAACCTCTGACCTCTGGCTTCATTTTATCCAACTTGACTTGGGATGTACTGATTCCGAAGACATATGCTTTCTCTGTGTATCCTTTTATTGTGACTATTTACATAGTCTTCCTGTGTAGTTTTGGGTGGCCTGGAACCTACTGCACTAACCAGGCAGGCCGACCTTGCATTCACAGATCTGCCTACCTCTGCCTTCAGAGTGCTGAGATTGAAGTTTGTGCCCCCAAGCCTCGCCCAGCTGTTTCTTTTACCATTGCTGTGGTAAAATATTCTGAAACAAAGCAACTTGAGGAATAAAGGGTTTATTTTCACTCACAGTTCAAGGGGGCAGCAGCTGCAAGCAGCTGATCATGTGACATCTGCGGTCAGGAGAAATCAGTGAGGGCCTGCCTGCCCGTGCTCCTCTCCCTAAGTCCAGGATTCAGTTAGGGATGGTACTACTTATAGTGAAGGGTCATGCTCAGAGGCCCATCTCCCAGGCGACTCTAGACTTTTCTCAAGTTAATGACACTAACCATCATATGCTTTAAAAAGAAAAAAATATATCAATCTAAGTCTTTGTGGGGTGGGGGGAGTTTGAGACAGGGTTTCTCTGTATAGTCCTGGCTGTCCTGGAACTCACACTGTAGACCAGGCCTAGTCTTCAGCTCACAGAGATCCTCCTACCTCTGCCTCCCGAGTGCTGGGATTAAAGGCGTGCGCCACCACTTAATAAAAAATCTAATCGAGATCTTGGGCTTCTCCTTTCTGGCTTGTTTAATTCTTCCCTATTTGCTGATTTATGTATTTCCTTATGTTCTTTTTGATTGTGTCTCACTACGTCACCCAGAAAGGCCTGGAACTCAAGTCCCTCCTGCCTCAGCTTTCCAAGCACTAGGACAGGCGTGCCCCACCAGGCCTGGCCTCATTTATTTGTCTCTGTGTGTGTGCAAGCTGGAAAGGAGAGAGAGACAGAGACCGAGAGAGACAAAGGGAGTGCCTGTGTAGGCCAGGCTAGCTTCCGGCTGTCGGTCTTCAGTTTCCCTGTACCTTTCGATCTTTGCCCAGTATCCTCCTCCCTGTCTCCTCTCTTCCTGTCTGCTTCTGTCTTTACCTGCCGCCCATCACGGCCATTCTGTCTTAACTCTTAGCCGGTGTCTGTCCCTCATACGGTCTGGTCCTTTCTGCAGCTCCTCCTCCTCTGTTCTTTTCTCTCCCCCACAGTACAGAAATCTTTGTTCTCTTTCATCATCTTTTCCCCTTGAAGCTCTTTCATTAGAAAGTATGGGGGGGGGGGGAGCACTGTCAGACATTTATAATTTTATTATTCAACAAGATACTTTATTTTTAAGAGCAGATAAGTACTAAAAATAGATTTTTTTCCTCCCCAAAGACTCCCAAAGGGATGGGGGAAAACCTTGCTCATAGTTAGCTTGTCCCTTAAGTAGTAACTGTAATAATTATTATTTTAGTGATTTCTGGATTGGCCAAAGATGACTTTGTTCACGTAGCTCATTGCCCCTTGCTTGGAGGGTCCTTCTCAGTCCTTCATAATCCCAGACAGCAGCTGACATCAATGTAAAAAGAGAAGCTAAAAACAGTTGAGTGTGTACGCCCTGAATTGCATATTCAGTTGCAAAATCATCATTATTATTGTAATTACAGAGGGGAGGCATTTCAATAATTGTTCAAAGTGTCTTCTTGAGGAAATAAGTAAATCAGGGCCAGCTGTCACAAGCCAATCTACAATAATGATCCCCGTATGTGCGTCTTCGGGATTCATAACAATCTACAATAACAAATTTGTGCATTCGTCTACTGTCCCTGAACAGCCTGAAAAATAACAAACCTGTGATCTGCTCTGATGTCTCGCTTGATAGTTCACTTGTATTTTTAAACAGCATCCTTGAATAACCTTAGAGTCATAAACTGCCAAACAAAAATTGCATCACCAATTTAATAACAAACAACGGTGGGTAGCCTGGCGTCCATCCACCTGTGACAGGATGGCCACAAACCGAGGTTTTGGAGCCAAGGGGAAGCCAGGTAGACAGATCTGCAGACAACTGAAACTGTTCAGAAGGAAACATCCACCAAGACAGACGTGCTTTATTGGCTTAAAAATTACAAACAGGATCTGTGAAGGCATGTTTTCAGCTTCCTTGTGAAATCAGCCCGAAGTAGTTCAGATTTTGCTCCTCCCAAGATACAGCTGTGAAATGACTAATAGAAATTAAGTGACATTGCACCGGGAACTAAATGTGCCACTTCACTGAGAACAGAAACCGTCCCCTGACAGAGGCCATCCTCACGGATTAATAATACCTATAAGAGATGGCACAGAGAAAGTGCTGAACTGGGCCACTCCATAGGCAGAAAGAAAGATTTATCGAGGGATCAAACTGCCAAGGCAGAGAGAAAAGCAAAATGGTGGGAAAACAAGCAGATTGTATATGATAGTCAGCAGAATGGGGATCTGAGCTGACGCAGGCTGTCAGGAGTGACCCAGAACTAGAAACCTTTGCCTGAAGTCGCTGACCTTTGGGAGAACGTTAAGGGGCAAGGTCCCTGGCACACAGAAACCTCCCTAAGAGATCTGCTTTTCTAGTGAACACATACCTTTAGGCTTGCTCACAATCCTTCAGTTTATCCAGGCAAAGTCCTCCTTTTTAGGACAATGTCACCAGCACTACCATTTTAGAGGAAGGGGACTTTGAACCTGACAATACCCCAGGTGCTTTGAAGAGGACCAGCCAAGCACAAGCGTGGTACATTTACAAAGAGTGAGAGTCATCCAATTGCCTCCTCAAAATGTCCCCATATCTCGATAGCTTTGAATTGTGGTTATATCTCTAATTTCATATTCTTGAAGAACCTCCAGAAACAGAGAAAGAAAGAGGAGAAAGAAAATTTCTTCTCACATTGCTTTTCTCTCGCTGGGCCACTTAGGCTTTCCGAATCCAAGTCTTGCTGGAGGCTGGGCCTGAGCCAGGCAAGAAGGGTGAATGACCTCGAGCTGCTTCAGGACCTTGCCAGCTGCTCTGCTGCAGCCTTCTTAGGTGCTAAGAATCATCTTCCTCATCACAGTTGCTCAGTATATTTCCATATTTGCACTCCCAGCTAAAAGCAATTTAGCCAGCATGCAGCCTTATCTCGCTTCGGTAGTCCAAACATTTCCCACGAAAGCATCAGAAGGGGCAGTGACGGGCATTTTGAAAGTTGTTTTGAGGTATAATTTGCATATTGTTAATTGTAAAAGTAAGACAATGATGAAAATAAATGGAAATTCCAAAATGGTTTTGTATAGAAAGAAAAAAAAATGCCCTTCTTGCCTTCATCACAGGTTTTAAAACACCGAGCACTATTTCTTGGCCTATATTTTCTATATAAGGACATCAAATGCATACAGTGCTTTTATGCAGAGTAGATTATGTAAATATACAGTATCTTGTGTGCTGTATCTAATAATGAATCAGCAGAATTTCATGTCAGCACATAGAGATCTTTTAGCCACTACATGTGCCAAAAAACCAACCATTGCCTAATTAATGGACATGTAAGTTCTTTCCACTTTATACTATTATTATTAGAAACAATGCATCCATGAATAACCTTACAGTCATGTTCTTAGGAACCTCTGTTGTGACTTTATCCATAGAATAAATTACTTCAGAGAAGTTGCTGGATCATAATATATGTACATTTAAGATGTGGAAGCAGAACTGTCAATCAGGGACAACACCTCCTTGCCCAGCATGTGCAAGGTCCTAGGTTCAAACCCAGCAACACGCACGCAATTAAACGCTTCCGAACGGTGACCTCCCCACATGGTCCTGATTCAGCTTCCACCAGCAGTCTACATTTACTACAACTTTGCTAAACACCAAATTTTACTGAACTTTAAACTTCCGTCACTCATAGAAACATGGGCATGTTGTCATGGTTCGCATTTTTCTAAACACTCATGAAGATGAACATTTTTGCCAAGTAATTTTGACCATTCCTACTTTTTGTTTGTTTGGTGGTGGTTGTTGTTTTGTGAGACAGGTTCTCATTATGTAGCCCTGGCTAGCCTGGAACTCAGAGAGATCTGCAGCCTGCCTCTACCTCCCCAGAGTACTGGGATTAAAGGTAAGATCCACCACATCCAACACCATTCTTATTTTTAGTATGTGAAGTGTTTGTTCACATTCTTTGCCCATTTTTCTGTTCCTTTTGTTTTTTGATAACATTATAAAATTAAGATCTCCTTGCATAAGGAGCATAAGCACTTTTTCCGTCGGATTGCCAATAATTTCTCCTTCTGTCCATTTGTCTTTGGCTCCGTTTACAGTGTTTCTCTGCTGCCGCTCTTGCTGTCATTATATTCATTTTCACCATATAAAAGTTTTAAATGCGCTACATAAATTCATTTATCAGC